TTGTAACCGCCCGGGTCTTGTGAGAATCTAAGAAGATTCTGAACATAGCATTGTCTCCCATCCATCTTAGCAATTTTGTGGGCAGTTCTTGTCCCAGGCCATTCTGTTAGAGTGTCTTTTCAGGCTCCTCAGAGCCTCCTCCATTCAGTCTCGCCGTATCCTCCGTCTTCTCGTGCAGCAGCACATCCATTTTGGCGTCGTTCCTTTCTCAGAGTTCTCTCTCCTGGTTGCACCACAGTACTTGTCTGGAAATGTGTGCTTGGAGTTTGTGTTGGGCCTGGAACTGCTCTGCCCTGCAGTGTAGAGTTGGGGGTAGGTGGAGTAGAAAGGAGACTTTCCAGTTACCCTGTGGATAGGCTTAGCTACTGTGGGCAGGGCCTTAAAGTTAGGGCAGTGTTTGTTTGTGCAGGTTGTCTTTGGACCCCAGAGAGCTTGTCTAAAGAGAAAGTAGAATTGCACGGCAGTTAAAGTCCCTCCATCTATATGGCTGACTTTGGTAACTCATTTCTTTGCAGTGTCAGAGGGACTGGATGTAAAGCAGAGATGAACAGAGGAGGCTGGAGGAGCACAGTCGGAAGGTGGGTTGTCATGTAAGGTCAGAGCCAAGACATGACTTTTGTGCCTAGGTTTACTTGATCATTTGGATGGTTTGGTGGTTTAGTTTTGTTATTTTTGGTTTTTTTGAAGTTGCAGAGCCCTCAGCCCAGCAGATGATAGGCACCAGAGGGAAGGTGAGCCCGGTGAGGAAGGTGAGCAGTGACTGCAGGACAAAACTAGCTGCTCTTTTGCAGGCGGTGTATTTGTGGTGAATCTGTGTACATACTTGTTTTTTTTGTTTTACAGGCAATGCACCGACTTCTAACGTACAGTCCAACGTGACAGGGACCCTGCCTGTAAGAGGTCACGGTCAAGGGGTGTCAGACAGAAGCTGCCATGGGAGCAGCAAACTCTTGGGCAGTATCTCAGTACTCACAGTTGCCTCTGGGGTTTTTTTGCAGGAGATGTAGGCAACCTCAGGTGGCCGAAGCCAACTCACAGTGAGGTGATGGACACGGTTTGGTCCCCTTGAGCTGTCCTTGTAGGTAATCTCCGAGTATTGAAAGGATCAGCAATGAAGAATTGAGCTTTTTGGATTGCAGGTGCCATCCGGGTAGCCTTTGGGAGCAGATGAGCATTGGAGGTGAGTCGGGGAGGCAGCAGGAGGAGCGGGGATCCACTGCAGCTTTAGAGATGCCCTCTAATTTGGTCTCTCTCTTGCTCAGGAATCCCAGGAGATGACAGCACATTGTTGAAGTCTGGTCAGAGTCAGTGACACGAGGACCTGCCTGGGTGAGAGTGAGTAGAGGGGTCATGGGGGCTGGGGCCACGTGCCACACTACTCAGATATGGTGTCTGGTTTTCTTTCTCGCAGTTGACTCCGAGTAGTCTCATGATGGCAGGAACCTCTGAGGCAGCCCAGGTGCCCCTCCTCTGCATCAAAGCTGGATTGACATCCCCGGCTCTCTGCAAGATAAGTGCAGGGCAAAGCCCCAGAGAGGGGTTGGGAGTGGGTGCAAGTCTGTGCCTCACCTGGAGGGATTTTTGAAATTAGTCCGGTGCAAGGGGTATCCTATAACAGGATATTTAGACGCATCAAAGGAAGGGCTTACTTTGTATCATTGGGTTCATGTGTGCCGGGCAGAGCAGTTTCGGTCTGTGTCACGTCCTTTGTCTCGTCCATGTTTTGTGTCCTTCGTCTCTTAATTGTATCCCGTGGTGTGTGTGGTCACAGGTGTGGGGTGTGTCACTTGGGGTCAGCCTGGAACTGCTCTGCCCTGCTCCGTGGATCAGTGGGTAGATAGAATATTGCTCAGTCTCACATCAACATGTCAGTTACCCCAGACAGTCGAGCCGATGGCTGTACGGTCCTGCCGGATGGAGCAGGTGTACATAACTCAGGTGCAGTCGTGTGCAGTGAGCTCATCCAGCAGCTGGGCTTCAATGGGATAAGAGCTCTCCCTTTCTTTCATTGAATGGGACTTCTCGAGCTATTCCTGCTTTATTGAAGCATCAGCTTTGGCATCCAAACAAGCAGAGCTGTATATGGCAATGAAGAGGACTACACTCAAAATTAATGTTTTAAATTTAATAACTTTGTGTTGGTAAGCTCCTTTTATAATTTGTTATCTTTTTTTTTTCCTTAGAAGCCTTGCATCTTTTGGGATCTCCTGATCATCTCAACTGCAGTTTGGCATTTTTTCACCAGTGTTATCCAGTCCTCAGGTGAAGCTGCTCTGTGTTGAAGATGCTACAGCCACCCAGGTTTGCAAGTAGTCAGTGGGGGGTTACAGCCCAGAGAAGGAGGGAGGGCTGGGGTGCCAGGTTAAGAATTGCCAGGGGTGTTTTGAAGGTAGGATGGGTGGAAAGCAGTGTCCAGGAGCCCCCTAAATGCCTGTGAGGGCACCCACTGACTTTTCAGATGTGCCACTTAAGTTTTCCTCTCCTTCACCCAGATATTCTGTGCCATTACAACTGCAGTCTTTGGCTGCAGGCAGTGACCCTGGGTGGTTTGCCTAAAGAGAAGGGAGAGTCTTTGAGCTCTCCCCATCTATCTGGGTGACTTTGGTTAGGGTTTCTTTACCATGTTCGAGGGGCAGGGTGTAAAGCAGTGTTGAACAGAACAGAGGCCAGAGGAGCAGAGTGAGAAGGTGGTTCATCACCTGATGTCAGCACGAAGATGTGGCTTTTGGCTCCACGTTTATTTGATGTGTTAAGGATTTTGTTGTTTGGGCTCTTTGTTTTCAGCTGCAGAGCCCTGGGCCCAGGAGGCTCTAGGCACCGGAGAGGAGGTGATCTGGGTGAGTCCCGGTGAGCAAGGTGAGCATTGACTCCAGGACAGAACTAGATGGTCTTCTACAGGTGTTGTGGTGAATTTGTGCACATGCTTTGTTATTGTGTTTTCCAGGGGTTCTGCCACCTTCTCACAGACAGTCCAGTGCTTCAGGGCCCCTGCTGGTAAGAGGTCACTGTGGAGGAGAGGTAGGTAGGAGCTACCCCAGGAAAGCCATCCTTTCAGGCAGTATCTCAGTCTGTACATTTGCCTTTGGCTTTTTTACTTTGCAGAGAATGTCTGCAGCCTCAGAGGGCCGGAGCCATCTGCCAGTTAGGTGTGATGGTCTTCAGCTGTCCTTGTGAGTAATCTCCTAGTACTGCGAGGGTCATCAATTAAGGCTGGATCTTTTCCAGTTGCAGGTGCCATCCAGCCTGCCTTTGGCAAAGGAGGAGCATTGAGGTTGAGTCAGGGAGGTAGGGAGGAGGTGCTGGGGTCTCCCTTACTTTCAGAAACACCCCGTAACTTTTTTCCTCACTCCCCCAGGTACAGCACATGGTGACAGCAGCAGCCTCCGACTGGGGTCGGAGCCAGTGGCCCGAGAACCTCTCAGCTCAGGGGAGGGTGAGTAGCCAATTGCAGGGTTATCTCCCACGTGCTGCCCAACTCTTGTGTCAGTTTCTGTTTTCTTTCTCACAGCGACCGAGTCAGGGATCACAGGACCCTCTGAGCCAGCCGGGTGTCCTTCTTTCACATCGGAGATGGATTCACATGCCCAGCTGTGGGAAAGATAAGTGGAGGGCTCCCACCTGGAGAGGGGATGAGAGCTGGGTCCAGTTTTATGGTTAGGAGGGAGGGATTGTCAAATGAGCAGAGGGAGAAGGGTCTGCCCTAACAGGCCCTTGGCACACATAGGAGGAGCAGTTTACTTTTCATCATGGAGTAGGAGGTCAGGCAAGAGACGATTCAGTCTGTCTGTCGGGTGCCTTTGTCCATTCTGGGTGGGTTTCAGACAACTTTCACAGTCAACCGCAGGTCTTTGGCGAGACTCTGCCATCTAAGGTCTTACGGTTGAAGGACCAAGGCATCATGCCTGAGGATCATGAACGATTCCACCTGCAGCACCAGCCCGTGCCCCATACCATCCTTCTGGGGTCTTCACTAACGTGACGTGCATATGGGAATCCATAACACAACCATCTGAGAAGTGTCAGGTCAGGTGTCTTTTACAGCCTCCTCACAGGTTGTATCGGTGGCTGTGCCGTGCAGTCATCCCTTGTAACCGCTCGGGACTTGTGAGAATCTAAGAAGATTCTGAACATAGCATTGTCTCCCATCCATCTTAGCAATTTTGTGGGCAGTTCTTGTCCCAGGCCATTCTGTTAGAGTGTCTTTTCAGGCTCCTCAGAGCCTCCTCCGTTCAGTCTCGCCGTATCCTCCGTCTTCTCGTGCGGCAGCACATCCGTTTTGGCGTCGTTCCTTTCTCAGAGCTCTCTCTCCTGGTTGCACCACAGCACTTGTCTGGAAATGTGTGCTTGGAGTTTGTGTTGGGCCTGGAACTGCTCTGCCCTGCAGTGTAGACTTGGAGGTAGGTGGAGTAGAAAGGAGACTTTCCAGTTACCCTGTGGATAGGCTCAGGCACTGAGGGCAGGGCCTTAAAGTGAGGTCAGTGTTTGTTTGTGCAGGTTGTCTTTGGACCCCAGAGAGCTTGTCTAAAGAGAAAGTAGAATTGCACAGCAGTTAAGGTCCCCCTGTCTATGTGGCTGACTTTGGTAACTCACTTCTTTGCAGTGTCAGAGGGACTGGATGTAAAGCAGAGAAGAACAGAAGTGGCTGGAGGAGCACAGTCAGAAGGTGGGTTCTCATGTGAGGTCAGAGCCAACACATGACTTTTGGCCCTAGGTTTACTTGATCATTTGAATGGTTGTTTTTGGGTTTTTTTTGTTTTTTTTTAAGATGCAGAGCCCTCAGCCCAGCAGATGATAGGCACCAGAGGGAAGGTGAGCCCGGTGAGGAAGGTGAGCAGTGACTGCAGGACAAAACTAGCTGCTCTTTTGCAGGCGGTGTATTTGTGGTGAATCTGTGTACATACTTGTTTTTTTGTTTTACAGGCAATGCACCGACTTCTAACGTACAGTCCAACGTGACAGGGACCCTGCCTGTAAGAGGTCACGGTCAAGGGGTGTCAGACAGAAACTGCCATGGGAGCAGCAAACTCTTGGGCAGTATCTCAGTACTCACATTTGTCTCTGGGTTTTTTTGCAGGAGATGTAGGCAGCCTCAGATGGCCAAAGCCAACTCACAATGAGGTGATGGACACGGTTTGGTCCCCTTGAGCTGTCCTTGTAGGTAATCTCCGAGTATTGAAAGGATCAGCAATGAAGAATTGAGCTTTTTGGGTTGCAGGTGCCATCCCGCTAACCTTTGGGAGCGTCCTGGCATTGGAGGCGAGTCAGGGAGGCAGCAGGAGGAGCAGGGATCCACTGCAGCTTTAGAAATGCCCTCTAATTTTGTCTCTCTCTCACTCAGGTATCCCAGAAGATGACAGCACATTGTCCAAGTCTGGTCAGAGCCAGCGACCCGAGGCCCTGCCTCGGTGACAGTGAGTAGAGGGGTCATGGGGGCTGGGGCCACGTGCCACACTACTCAGATATGGTGTCTGGTTTTCTTTCTCGCAGTTGACTCCGAGTAGTCTCATGATGGCAGGAACCTCTGAGGCAGCCCAGGTGCCCCTCCTCTGCATCCAAGCTGGATTCACATCCCTGGCTCTCGGCAAGATAAGTGCAGGGCAAAGACCCAGAGAGGGGTTGGGAGTGGGTGCAAGTCTGTGCCTGGCCTGGAGGGATTTTTGAAATTAGTCCGGTGCAAGGGGTATCCTATAACAGGATATTTAGACACATCAAAGGAAGGGCTTACTTTGTATCATTGGATTCCCGTGTGCAGGGCAGAGCAGTTCCGGTCTGTGTCACGTCCTTTGTCTCGTCCATGTTTTGTGTCCTTCGTCTCTTAATTGTATCCCGTGGTGTGTGTGGTCACAGGTGTGGGGTGTGTCACTTGGGGTCAGCCTGGAACTGCTCTGCCCTGCTCCGTGGATCAGTGGGTAGATAGAATATTGCTCAGTCTCCCATCAACATGTCAGTTACCCCAGACAGTCGAGCCGATGGCTGTACGGTCCTGCCGGATGGAGCAGGTGTACATAACTCAGGTGCAGTCGTGTGCAGTGAGCTCATCCAGCAGCTGGGCTTCAATGGGATAAGAGCTCTCCCTTTCTTTCATTGAATGGGACTTCTCGAGCTATTCCTGCTTTATTGAAGCATCAGCTTTGGCATCCAAAGCAGCAGAGCTGTACATCTCAATGAAGAGGGTTACACTCACATGCAGGGTTTTTAAATTTAATATTTTTGTGTTCCATACTGGTAAGATGCTTTTGTAATGTGTTATCTTTTTTTCTTTTCCTTAGAAGCCTTGCATCTTTTGGGATCTCCTGATTATCTCAACTGCAGTTTGGCATTTTTTCACCAGTGTTGTCCAGTCCTCAGGTGAAGCTGCTCTGTGTTGAAGATGCTACAGCCACCCAGGTTTGCAAGTAGTCAGTGGGGGGTTACAGCCCAGAGATGGAGGGAGGGCTGGGGTACCAGGTTAAGAATTGCCAGGGGTGTTTTGAAGGTAGGATGGGTGGAAAGCAGTGTCCAGGAGCCCCTTAAATGCCTGTGAGGGCACCCACTGACTTTTCAGATGTGCCACTTAAGTTTTCCTCTCCTTCACCCAGATATTCTGTGCCATCACAGCTGCAGTCTTTGGCTGCAGGCAGTGACCCTGGGGGCTTTGCCAAAAGAGAAGGGAGAGTCTTTGAGCTCTCCCCATCTATCTGGGTGACTTTGGTTAGGGTTTCTTTACCATGTCAGGGGGACAGGGTGTAAAGCAGAGTTGAACAGAACAGAGGCCAGAGGAGCAGAGCAAGAAGGTGGGTCATCACCTGACATCAGCACGAAGATGTACCCCCAGTCCCCTCCCATTCCCCTCCCAGTGTCCTTCCAGTTCCCATACTGGTCACACTGGAGTCGGTTCTGTTGCTGATTTGACCCGTTATTGACAAGTGGACAATGGGGTCAAAGGTCACTTGTGGTGCTGGGGTGGGGTGTCCCAGAGGTCATTGGAGGGGTCTCAGGGGGTACTGGGGGGTCTCAGAGGGTTCCAGGGCACACGGAGGGGGAGTCTCATGGGGGTCCCAGGGGTCATCAGAGGGGTCTCAGGGGGTCCCAGGTCACAGTGGGGGGGGTCTCTGAAGGGGGAGTAGTGGAGGCTCCTGGGAAGGTCTCAAGCAGGAAGGGGGGAGGGAGGGGATCCCAGGGGATATTTGGGGTCCCTCAGGGGTGGTGGGGGCCGGGGGGGAGGCAGAGTGCCTCTGCCACCCCCCCCTCCCGGGCTGATCTGTCACCTCTGACGCACACACACGAGTCACCTCTGACCCCCCCCGGATCTCTGCCACCCCCCCCCTCCCAGGGCTGATCTGTCACCTCTGACACACACACACACACACACACACACACACGGGTCACCTCTTACACCCCCCTGGAAGTCTCTGCAATTACCCCCCCCCCTTCCCCAGGGCCTGATCATGTCACCTCTTGAATCACCAACTCAGACACACACAACAACACCACCGTCAACCGTGTGACCCCCACCGATCTCATGACAACCCCCGCCCACGGGGCTGATCTGTCACCTCTGACACACAATCACAACACCAGACAGACATAACCACACAACGGGTCACCTCTACCCCCCCTGGATTCTCTGACACCCCCCCCGTGCTGATCTGCACCTCTGACCACACCAGACACACCAACACACGGGTCACCTCTGCCCCCCCCCGGATCTCTGCCACCCCCCCCCTCCCAGGGCTGATCTGTCACCTCTGACACACACACACAGACACACACACACGGGTCACCTCTGACCCCCCCTGGATCTCTGACACCCCCCCCCTCCCAGGGCTGATCTGTCACCTCTGACACACACACAGACACACACAGACACACACACTCACACACACACAAACACACACACACACACACACACGTAACCCCTCATCGGACCCCCCCTCACCTCGACCCCCCCCCCCCCCCGATATCTGACACCCCTCCCCGCTCCCAGACCAACCAAGATCCTCTGGGACCCCCCGGGGACCTCCCAATTCCCCCTCAGACCTCCGAGTAACCCCTGGGACCCCCATAACTGCCCCCCCGAGCCCCCCCAAGCTCCCCCTGACCCCCCCAAGCCCCTACCTGGGTGAAAAGGTGACTCAGGATCATTCAGCGCCGAGTGTTGTGGGGGGGGGAAGCAATGCTGTGGGACCACCAGAGACACCCCCCCCCGAGGGCTAAGCCTAATGCTAAACCATAACCCTAATCCTAACTTTCAGTCCTAACCCTTCGCCCTAACTAACTGTAAATGGGTGTTGGGACAGGTAGTTGTAAGCCATGTTCTCCTGCTAATCGATAATTAGAGTTTTCTGGTGCTTTGAGACCGTTGTGGGAGGAGTCAGGGGGCTGCAGAGGGCATTATGGGATGGGCTGGGTTAGGGTTAGGGTGTGGTTTAGTCAGGTGTTTTCATTTAAGGTTTTTGATGTCATTGGGTTGAGTGGTGTTTTTTTGAGGTTTTATTTAAGGGTCCGGGGTGTTGTTTCAGTTGTGATTTGTGTGCTTTTTTACATAATTTTTTTTTTTAATTTTTGCTGTTCACAAGGCTGCAGCATTTTGGCTGGTTTTGACCTGCTGTGTAATTATTTCTGCTGCAGTTCTCGCGCAGTGTCAGCAGGTGCCAGCACTCAGCACTGATTTCCGTGCGTTACCTCCGTGCTCCCCAGGCGGCAGCGCTGCCCCGCGATTATGAAATCGATCCTTTTAACGGCGGTTCTGTGCCTTTATGCACCTCTTGTTTCGATCGTGTTTTATTTTTTAAGGTGGTTGATGGTGTTATGCACATTCTGAGGTGATGTGTGGTGCTGACGTTGGAGATTTTTGAATGGGATTCTGATCACTCCCAGTTTTCCCAAAAATTAAGGAATGGGACTCAGAGCATTCCCAGTTTTCCTAATATTGGTCTGGGGGCACAGGATCCTCCCACTTTTCCTCCAAAATTAATGAAAGGCACCTGTGGAATTCCCAACTTCCCCATCCCCCCCAAATCACAACAGAAATCCTGGGAATTCAACTCGAATAATATTTTCTTTATTTACACGTCGAAAGAATTCCAAAGGTCGGAAAAACAAGATGAAAACACAACTCTACAGGGGCTACAGAGGGGGGGCAGGAAAAAGTGGGGGAAAAAAGGTGGGAAAAGCTGGGGAAAAAGGGGGGGGAGGGGGGGGGAAACCCCAAAAAAACAAACGGAAAACGGAGTAGAAAAAAATTGTACATTTTTCCAACGTAAAAAACAGGCCCTTCCCCCTCCCCCTCCCCCTCTGGAACATGCGGGGGGGGGTCTCAACATTCCCGGCACTTTTCCCACCCCCTCCCCCACTGCCCATCCTTTTTCCTCCCCAAAAATTCCCAAATAAATTAACAATTAAAAAGGTTGAGGAGGGGGTTGAGCAACCCCTGCCCCCCACCATCCCAAAAAAAATCCACCTGGAGGATCCCAAACTTTGCCCCCCTCCCTTCCCCTCACCCTCTTTTCCCAAGCTCTGGAATTGTCCAGCCCCTCCCCCACCAAGAGGCTTTTTTAAAATTTTTTTTAATTACATTTTTCTAAAAAGTTTTTTTTACGTTTTTTAAGTTTTTTTGCTGTTTTTTTTCCTAAAAACTCTCCCTCCAACCCTCCCCCCCAAAAAAAACAACTTTTCTCTCCCCTTTTTTTTTGTTGGAAAAAATCCACGCCAGAAAAAAACCAACAAACAACAAAAAAAAAAAAAAAACCCAAAAAAAAAAAAAGAAAAAAAACAGAACAAAACAAAAAAATCAACAAAAAGCCCAAAAACAAACAGTAAAATTTCACTAGAGGAGGAAAACGGGATAATCCCAAAATTCTCAACCTCATCCCATGGGATCCTCCCCCCTCTTCTCCCGCATTCCCAAAGTCCATCGGTGCTGGAGGGGGGCTGGGAGTCACCCCAAAATCCGGGGGGGGGACTCGGGTCCGGTCCTGCGGAGCCCGGGAATTCCTGGGAATCCCTGGTAATTCCCAACTAACCGGAATCCGAGTCGCTGGTGTCAGAGGAGGAGGAGGA